ATGCCCGACCAACCGAACACGAGCGTTGTGGTGGCCTGGCCTGTGTGCCCGGGGCAAGAGGTAGCCATAACAATTGTGCAAATTGTGGTAAAAGCATGAAAATTTAAACATAGGTTCTTTAGACCATTTCGAAACTTTTGGCCCACATCCCATTTCGATCACTTCGTGTGGAGCCCAGATATTGAACGGTTTTTGAACACCTTGAACAAAACACATTTTACCATCTCTTATTCACTAAACACTCGTATAGAAGGACTCTCGTGCGTGGAATTGTACCGCAAGACCATGTACTCGGTCTAGAGAGACCACCGCTAATTTGATGTCGCTGGACTCGATTCCGATACGAGATTTGAGTTTTGTGACCTCCGTGACCTCTGTATGACGAAGCCTGCGCAGGTTGCCTACCTGTCAGGTGCATGGTCGCTCGCAAGTGCCTCGCACCCGGGCTGCGCGCGCAGTTCTGTTGCTGCGACGGTAAAAGCAGCGAAATGCAAACGCGCATGTTTAATATGGCATCTCTCTCATGGACAAAAATATAATTTGTCCAACCATAGAATGCAAATTTGTGAGGTGAGGCTGGTGAGGGGTGAGGCGGGGTGGGAAGGAGCAGATGCGCCACACGTTCCGTCCTTGCTTCCCTCCCCTCGCCCGGCACAAGTCAACCCATGTCGGCTCCTCTGAAACTACGAACCTACCGCATGAGGATTGCGACCGCCACTTTCCATAGTAGCACCACAGCACAGGTGCATTGAATGCAGCAATGCGCATTAAAATGCGCATAAAAGGTAACAAATGTTATCGCGCGTTTATTGTGCATTAAGTGCGCATTTATTATCGCATTGCACATAAAATGTACCTAAAATGAGTTACATTAAATGCGCATTCCAATACGCATTACCTGATCGGCTAAACGCTATGGGGCGACATAGGACGCGCCCGACCGGACCGCGCGCCCGCTCCCCACGGTGTACACCATGGCCTTACCCGAACCGGACGAGTTTTCCTGGTAACGCACGGCTAGCGGTACTAGGCGTTCCCGGGCCAGCCCACCACGGTCACCCGTACTGTTCTGGAGCGGTCCTTCACTTTCCGGACCGATGCCGGAGCTAGGCTAATATTTTTCGTACGGGCCGTGTCTTCCGTGGGCTCCCCGGGCCGGGTCCGGGATGGGGGCGTGGCCTCGTGCACAGTGTCAATTGTTTGCCGGCAACAAGCCGATCACGTACCGGACAGCTGCCCCCCACGCCCCAAAGATCCCCCAGTTTTTCTTACGTACAGCTCTAGTAGCGGCAACAGTTCACACCGTCCAGGCGGCAGCGGTGCAGGGCGTGGCAGCCGCACCCAAGAGGGAGAAAGGGGGGAACGGGGGAAAGAAGCATCCACTCGCGCCCTGGGGGGGCTTGGGATGCCCCCCTCCCCCTCGGGCTGGGTTTAATTTCTGTGCGGACACCGAACAAACCCCGTTCTCTTTTTCCTCCCAGTCATCTTCACTTCGGCGCTTTACCGGAATGGTTTTTTGGTTTTTGATCATCTGCGCCGGGCTATCAGTTCAGTTGCCTCCCAGCCACTGGCATGCGCTGTGTCTTAAGACGGTTGGCGGTGGAGGGGGTTTCGGCACGTCAACCACTTTTTATGTCTAGTCCCACATCACTGTCCCTCCACGCTGGGCTCGCGCCTGGCGGCGGTCTTGTTTTGTAGTGTTGTGTTTGGCCGCAGGGGGCGGGGGGCGGAGCAAACGCCGGGTAGACATGCGTGCTCAAGGGGGTTGACGACATAAGTGGCGCATTTAGGATCTGCCCTCAGTCACAAAAAAAAACAAAAAAAAAAACGTTGACTTTTTAGGCAGCTCCCAAGACTGTCTCAAGACTGTCTCTAACAGAAGGTAAAAGGTAGAAGATCATGTTAAGTTAAGAGACGGCCCGTACGAACTCAACGCACAGAAATGTATTTCGAATTAGTTAATATTTTACACACAAACGACTAACGCTTGAGAGAGCAGCTAAAATGAGGCCTAACTTGTTCGTATTTGTATTTGCATTCCGTACGTCTCATGCTCCTCTGGCACAGGACATTTGTCGTGGTCATGTGAGAAAAGTTGGAGATCGACGCCTAGCTCCCAATTTTCTGCGGTTTCATCATCGTCTTTGTGGCAGCCCAGGGAGCAAGCCGGGCAAACATCTTCCTCGCACCTCCTGGTATACTCAACCTGGATGTGGAGCAGCGGGTTTGCAGTGAGCACTGTACTGACTGCGTCCCGGTGCATCCAGGCGTGGGTGCAGTAGTGGTCATCATGTGATTCCAGCTGCAACGTCCGCAAGGCCGGGGCTGCGTGAGGGGTGATGGCCAGCAAGAGCTTGTCGAGCTCGTCATCTAGAGGCGTGCACACGACAAGCAGGCTCAGGGCGGGCAGCCCCGGCAGCTTCCTGGCCAGCGACTCCATCGGCGGGCAGCCGCGAAGGAGCAGGTAGTCGACGGACGTCGAGGCTATGGCCTCTATCACCTCCCCGCAAAAGTCGGGGCGGCTGGAGTCGTCGCCGTCGTCTAGGAATGTCAAGAAGACATTCTCCAGCTTGGTAGCTTTTCGGAGCGTTCTTGCAGCCTCCCTGACGGCAGGTTGATCCTTGGCAATGAAATCAAGGCCCAAAGACCGGAGCGTCTCGCGGGCGGCCACAGCCACGGCCTCTAGCCCAGGGAGCACCGAGGAAATCAGCCTCCTGAGCTTTGGCGTGCCGGCCAAGAGGCGCGCCGTCTCGTCTGAGTTCCAGGAGTTGTAGCTCTCAAACAATGACTTATGGCTGACATTCAGTTCAACGTCCTCCAGGATGGACGCGTGCGCCGCAAGCATGGTGTTCACAAAGGACGCCGAGTTTTTAATGAGCTCGCATTTGAATTTCTTTAGAGACGCACTGGGTGGGCCATGGACAACAGGTCGAAGGGTTCTGGGCACACATGAACTAAACTCGAGTGTCTCGAGGCCACAGCACAACGCCAGCGTACTCATCAGCGCGTCGCCACCAGTCACCTGATGGTAGCACCCGAGGTACAGGCCTCTCAGACGCCCAAGGGCCTCCTGGTTGCGCACCACCAGGGCGTACTCGGAGGCAATGAAGCCCTCCTTCGCCACCTGCAGCGTCAGATGTTTTATCGCGCACCTGGTCGTTATCAACGCCGGGAACATGTCCGTTGAGTAAACCTCCAGGAGACATGGAGCCAGGTGCAGTACCGTCGTCGCATAATGTCTGGCGCGGCTGAGGGTGGAGCGGAAGATGCGTCGACCACGCCACACGTCGGGGTGCAGGGCCAGGGCCGCGAACCTCTTGCACACGAGGCGACAGCCGATGACATCCTCCACGCCCAGGTACTTCTTCATCGTCATCACAAGCACGTCGTCCGGCAGCTGTTCCATGATGTTGGAAGAGAGGTGGGCAGGAAGCTGCGAGAGCACAAACACTGGTCAGTGGAACTAATGTGTGTGGATCTGCACGCTGATGTGAAACTCCAGGAAATACACTCCGATAATTGCACTTCTGGCGGGTCTTACTTTGATGGTGGGTGGAATGCACGCTGAGTTGTTGACAGCGAAGAGGCCACTCCTTGTGGCCTGGTCAGAACAGAAGCGGAGACGGGACGCACTCACACTGGCCACTGGTCGAGGTCTGACTGAGCCTGCGCCGAGCACGGCTGCTCGCAAGGCTAAGCCGCCAAGCCGGCAAGGCAGGCAGGCAGGCAGGCAGACACCCGCACGACGCTAAAAAAAAATGTCCACCAGAACTAATAGTTAATTTCGAGATGATCGATAAATATTAGCTGTGGTAATAACGAATATTCAGTTGCCAGAGCCAAGAGTTGGTTGCTGAAACAAAGCACGTCGCTGCAGGAGCCATCTGACCCAGCCGCTCCGATCAGTGTGATAGCGCCACATGCCCTACCATTTAAAACTCAAACTAAGAGATCGGATTTGAAATTAAATCGTAGAAATTATTAACAACAAGGAAATTGACGTTTGCTTTAACCCAACGTCCGCTACGCGGGCGGGTGGCCACTCGAGCAGAAAACTTTACACCATTGCCACATCAATTTCAGCAGCTGAACGTGTTAATTTCTGTACGGACACCCAACAAACCATTCCGGTAAAGTCCCTCGCGCCGGTCGGCCGCCAGACCAGGCCGGCGACCCTCCTCTCGGCTCGGGGAGCACCGAAAAGCGCCGCGTGTGCCTGCGCGCCTCCCGCGGGGCTGGGGGCCGATCCTTAAATGCGCCCAGCGCCCCGCGGAAAGTCCGACCGAAAAGCGCCGCGTTGGGCGGCGGGAAGGCGGGGCCGGCAGACGTCAGGCAGGGGACCCACCGCCCAGACCGCGGGTACGGAAAGCGCCGCCCGACCCGTTCACCGCCATTGCTCTAAGTGCATGGGGTGCATAGAGTCATGCAAGTGCAAGCGGGCGTGCTGCTGCTGGCTGAGTAATGGCAAGGAACTAGGGGTGATAGCTCGGCACCTGTCGCCTGTGACGTGTCCGTTTGAAATAATAAGAAGCTAACCAAAACTAACAAACCTAACTCAATACAGGAAATCAATAATGGTGTTATCAGTGCAGCGTTGCGCTTCGCTATCGCTCCGCGTAACGCATTGGCATGAGGGGACCGCAAACAAGGTTATGTCCGCGAGCTAGACGTAAGCTGGATCTCGCTCCTCCATGCCGGAGCGTAGAAGACCACAGCTTCCCGTCTGTCTAGCACCTATTGCACGGGCGAGATAGACGGGGAGCCCCGCGCGGAAAGCCCCGGCGCCTGGCGCGGCGCTTTTCGGACTGTTCTGCCCCGGGCCTAGCCGCCCCCGGCCTCCTCGTTTACGCGCCGGCCCCCGCTGTTAATCGCCTCTTAATCCCTGCGCCAGGTAACCGCGGCGCTTTTCGACTCCCCCCCTCGGCTCGGCTCGGGCCGCCGGGAGATTCCAGAGGAAAGGGCCCCTGATCCCTCCTCCAGCTACGCACGCCTGCCTCTGAAACTCGACAGTCGTAGGGCAGCACTCGAGGTGGAAGAATATCCAGCTCATAGGACGAAGCCTCTCCTGCTCGCCAGAGCCACCGGACCCAGTCACATTGGTAATTAATTTAACTTTACCTAAACGTCTCGGACATACAATACAAGCCCTGGTACAGTGCTCTTTACTGACTTGTCTCATCATTGTGTGTTCGTGTGTCCCCACAGACTCATGGATCAGCTACCGGACGACGTACTGGCCATGGCCATGTCGCACCTGAGCGTGCGGGACGTGTTGGCGTGCCGCCTCGTGTGCAAGCGGCTGGCGGACCTGGCACAGCACCCCTACGTGTGGCGGACTCGGCACGTTGACGTTGGCGAGCGCCGACGCGACAACAACTACGACAGCGACTACAGCGAAGATGACGACGAGGACGACGCCGACGACAACGGCGACGATGTCAGCGATGATGATGACGGCGGCGACGATGACGACGGCGGTCGCGAGCCGTGTGTGTGTAGGGTGCTGCGCCTGGCGCCGTGCGTGCGCCAGATCTCGACCCCAGTCCCAGTCCCAAATTCACGGTCGTGTCGCCACGGCGACCTGCGGACGACCTCCTGCGCCGCCAGAGTGTTGTCGATCAAAATGTTGTGGTATGAGCCCGAGCCAGCTGTCCAGATCATCAAACAGCAGGAGGCGCTCGGACGGCTGCGAGCCGTGAGTCTAGAATTCAGCGACCACCCACTGACTGTATACGCCGTCGACTTGCTGTTCGAGACGCTGGCCTCAACCCCTGGCCTGGAGATGGTCACTCTCAACTGGAGCAACACGTGCAGCATCCCACCCGGGACCGGTCAGGGCGGCACCATCACGCCGTCCTTGAAGACTTTCAGGTGCGAGACCACACCACAGGTAGAGCCCTTCTGCGACTACATGCTGGCCGGGCACGCCGCCACCTTGGAGGACGTCGCCTTCTCCCTCGCCTCCCTCAGCGGGCCTCTCTGGGTATGGGAGGGCTCCTCCCCCGGACTGACTTTCATGACCTCGCCGTCCACGGCGCGCCTGCTGGCCGGCATGCCCAACCTCCGCAAGCTCAGCTGCCCTCTGATGCCGGGGCTGGGGGAGTTGGCGGCCTGTGAGTCGCTCAGGGAGCTGAAGCTCAGTATGGGGCGCGTCACCGCCAACGACGCCAACGCCCCCGGGGCCGTGGAGCTCCTGCGCCGCGCGCACCAGCTCCGATCCCTTCATCTCTCCTTCAGCTATCCAGGTGTTAATAATGATTTCGGTAAAAAGCTGCTCAGTGGCCTCACGTCGTCCGGACTCTCGCCAGTGGAGACGCTGGTCCTCGAGGTCGAGGGCTACGTATTGCAAAGCACTCGTGCCTCACCTGGGCGCTCAGCTGCCCTTGCTGCCCGCCCTGCGACGCCTCGTGCTCAAAGTGCACCCAGACACGCTGCTGGACGTCATCACCCCCCTCAGCAACCCGGCCCTGCGGAGCCTCCAGATTGTTCGTTCTCGTTCTGGTGCCCAATCTTTTAAGATTCCGTGCCTCCACGAGCTTCTACACAGAGGGGAATTTAAGGCGCTTCTGTTGAGGAACCCCTTGCTTCACGTCGAGATAGATTGTGCTTATTGCTCGGCACACAACTGCAGCGCCTGTAAACAGGAATGTCACGAAGACATTTTTAAGGGTAAATTTCAGTTTATTGGCGTTTTCACGCACCCTAAAGACAATTGTTCCTCCCCAGAAGGCCACGACTCTGAATACCATTGGATTCACATCGATGATTTATTTACTTCCTGTTATGATGATGACGACTTATCATCTCCGGGCATCTAAGGAAACATTCTGTGCAAATTTGACGAAATTGATTTCGCTCAGCGTGTATATCAGTGAATAAATCTATATTAAGGTGCTATGTACCGTACATTTTGGTGTATTCTTACATGGAATGCCCGACTTACTGCGTTGAATTTAAACATGCTCCATAAATATGCCGCCGTCACACCGCCAGGCAGCTCTAGAGAATGCTCACCCGGTATACACACTGACGGGTATTTCCTTTCTCGCAACACGAGATCGGCGCTGGAGTGGGCCAGCTGGCCGGGCCGGCCCCAGGTCCGCGACACGGGCATCAAGGTGTGTTGAACGAGCGCCGATGGCGGGTTTTGGGCGTCGCGACGACCCTGTGTGCAGCACGGCAGTAGACGCGGCCGCCGCCACCACCGCCATTTATAGCGGATACAACAATGTCGTAACAACGGACCATTATTTCTGCGAATAACGTTCAACCATAAAACAGGCGGGCGGGGCTC